ATCTATTTCAATTATCAATTAATAATGTAGTTAATTTCATGCATTTTTGACAATCCATAACGCTAATATGTTAAATGCTCTTTTTCAAGATACAGCAACATATGATTAACACGACCCGACCACATTCCTAGTCTGAATTCATATGAAAATTATGCATTTAGTTTAGGTTATCTACACGATTGCACATGCCAAAAATATTATTCCTACTACATATTGCCCATGTGTTGATTTTACTGTATTTGAAACTTATTGTGAGTATTCTTACATTACAACAAGTAACTAACTATTCAATTGATGACTAAACAATTAAATAGTGTAATGGGAATGCAAAACCAATCAAGAAATGCAAGAAATACCTAAATTAAAGTTTTAAATAGAAATAAACAAAAATAGGGTTTCTTAATCATCCAAACACTACAAAAACTTAGCTAATCATCCTAAATATTGAATTACATAAGAAAATATGAAATAATATCACCCAGATCAAGAAATGATGGACGAAAGTGAAGAAATTCACATTTTTGAATGAAATCTTGAAAATGAATGAGAAATCTTTTATAATCTTGTGAAAATCTGTATTTGATTGATGAATTGACCTCGTTCTTCGCTTCCAAAATATGTAGAAATATATGAATTTTAGGTCTAGGGAGGTCTCCCCACATTCTGGACGAATTCTAGGTTATAAATGATGCAATGATATCATATCAAAATTTGCAGAAAAAAGAAAAGGCAAAAAATATTTCTCACAACCGAAAAGCTATGTGTACACATGGTATAATTTGAGTGTACACATAGTAGAATGATTTTAGCTTCAGTTGGCCTATAATGGGATCTCACACACGCATGGCTTGCAGTCAGCCTATGAGTACATATAGCTTCAGTCGGCCTATGCGTACATATAGCTTCACATTTTTGAGCCAATTGTGCAAATTGGTCTCTGAACTTTTCGCAATGCATTTTTTATCATTTTCATTTATGATTTTGTTCCTTTAGCTTCCAATTGCCTCCAATTGAATTTGTAGCATCTTCACTCTTCATTTTATGTCCCGACGCGACTATTGAAATCTTGCAATTTAGTCCCTATAGTTTTAATTTCACCATTATTCTCTATCTTCAACTTGTTTTCTCCATCAAATCATGAGTTTTACCTAATAAACACAATATAACATAAATTAGGCTATATTTTAT